GTCTGTATACTTACCCCTGTTGAGATGATGTTGCAGTCGTAGCGAGAAGTATTAGAGGCGTTCCCTGGAGTGATGCTGGGGGGCGTCTGAGCGAGAAAGACAAGTGGTTAGAGACAAGTGGTTAGATCTGAGCAGTAAGAATGCTGCTCCACCACCCCACCTTCGCTTTCTCCTCACATGACTTTCCTGAAGCCACCCTCATTTTGCACAAAAAAAGCCACAGTGGTTTATTGCCCATTCTAGTGGATTTGCGTGCTCAGGAATGTGGATGCCGACACAGCCGTCCTGAGCAGAGTTACACTTTTTTAAGTCCACTGAAGGGTGGGCCTCTGCCTAGGACAGCAGGATGGTCCAAACAGCCAGCACCTTCCGCAGTGAGAGCAAACGACTCATTTTCACTTCCAGTCTTCCAAGCAATTCTGGCCCCATCCCAGGCTTCTGGTGGTGAAACGTTCCCTCACCCCATAGCTAACCTGTGTAAAAATCTATCTTTTTGGGAAAATAAATGTTTTATTTATTTGAAGTAGAACTTTTCAGACAGGCTGTTGATGGCTCATAGCACAGAGGTTGTATTTCGCTTCCCTTTACCTATATCTCTGCGATTGCACGTTGTTTGGCAGAAGCCAAAAACGTGGTTTGGGAAGATGCGGGGTCAGGTGTACTGAGCCACATTCGGATCTACTCCTGAGGAGGCAAAATTTTGTGTGGAAATTTTTGCATAGTTCAATTATTTAACAACACCGGCCCAGGGGTTTGCTCTACTGCAGAAATGGTCTAAGTCCTGTTCGTTGGAAGAAAAGGAGGCTACAAATATTTTAAACAAACAGAATCTAGAGTCTGGGAAAATAAATTTTTAATTTGTACTCTGTTAGTATTCCGAGGCTGGCCACATGCTGTGCAACAGGTTGTTAGCTTTTGGAATTTTCCAGGCTAAATGTTAATGAGTAGAAGATAAATCCAGGTGGTCAGCCTGTGTGTGCATGTGTGCACGTGCCTGAACCCTCTTTATCAGAAAAACCCAGGGCTATTTTTGGGCAGGAACGCACAGGAACGGAGTTCCGGCTGGCTCCCAAGTTGCCCACGCCCAGCAGGAACTCATTAGCATAATAGGCCACACCCAATAGCAGAAACTCATTAGGATTGGCTACATTGGGGTGTGTGGCCTAACATGCAAAGGAGTTCCTGCTACAAAAAAAAGCCCTGGGTTTTGACCACAAACAAGGTAAACAGAATAAGAAGGGAAAGGTGGGTGTGGCTGGATGACCACACTTCTGGTAACATGGGGGTGTGGCCTAATGTGCTAATGAGTCGTGCTGTCAGGGTGTGGCCTAATATGCTAATGAGTTTCTGGTGTTGGGTGTGGCCTATTATGCTAATGAGTTCTTGCTGGGCTTTTTCTACAAAAAGAGCCCTGGCTGTAGGAAGCCACTGTCTCCCCAGCAGGCGTTGCTTCTCTGCTGTCTGCTCCTCTTGCAGCTGTGCTGCATGTGTACACATATTAACATAAGCTGTCTTATAACCTAGTCAGACTGATGGTCTCTCTAATTCAGTACTGTTTATTTAGTTCTCCAGGATCTCAGGTAGAGAAGGGTCCTTCCCGGCACACACACACCCACCCCCCGAATAATCTTTCCTGCAGATGCCAGGGACTGAACCTGGAATCTTCTGCGTGCAAAGACTGTGCTCTGCCACCAATCCACTGCCTCTGCCTCCTCATACAGCCTCTTCCTGGCACACGCCCACTGCATACACATCCCACACACAGATCTCCCACTCCTTAGCACGTGCATTCTGCGCATACATCCCCCCCGCACAATGATGTTTTCCCACTCTCACTTGCCATGTTGCTTTCATACACAAATAGCCACATGCTCATTATTTCCAAGTTCTCGACCTCTCCTGCAGGTTGACACAAGCATACACCTTCTTCTCCTCGGCACACCCACCGGTATGGTCCCATTGCCACTGGGTGCTTTCTGATGGCTGAGAATGTCATGGGCTGCACTCAGCATGACCACGTAGGCAAAGTTGTTGCAGAGGCCCAGCAGCCTGTGTGGGTAAAGGAGACTGTGTGGTCAGTGTGATGGGGAACAAACAAGGGAGGCAGGATCATCGTCCAAAATCTCATTTCCGTGCCCAAAGTCTCACAGCATCCAAGTTTGCATCTACATGGAGGTGTGAAAGTGGGCCCCCCTGCCCACAGGAGCAGCAGCTGCAAGCTTGCTCCATTTGCTGCAACAGCAGCAGCACCGCCCCCCCATTCCTCCCCCTTACTCCTGCCCTGCCGGTGTTTTCAACAGTGATTTCTGTGGTCTCCCCACAGACTAAATCCCCCCCTTTCCTTCCCTTTTCCTAATGCAAGTGGGTCACACTGTAATGTTATGGTGATCTGTAGTAAAGGTAAAGGTTTTCCTTGCTCGAAAGCCAGTCGAATCTGACTCTACGGATGCGGTGCGCATCTCCATTTCCAAGCCAAAGAGCCAGCGCTGTCCATGGACGTCTCCATGGTCATGTGGCCAGCATAACTAGACGCCAAAGCACATGGAATGCTGTTACCTTCCCACCGAAGCAGTACCTATTTATCTACTTGAAATTTCTTGCTTTCGAACTGCTAGGTTGGCAGGAGCTGGAACCAGAGACAGAAGCTCGCTCTGTCATGCAGCACTTAGGTCTTGAACTACTGAACTACCGACCTTCCAGTCTGCAGTTCAGCGTCTTCAGCACTTGAGCTACTACAGCCCATAATGATCTGAGGTCCTCTGAATTCACAGTTTTCATTTTTAAAACATAAGTCTTTAACCCTGTTCTCCATGGAGATACACCTTTTACATGAAAGCTGGAAATTCAAAGAACCTAACAGATCATTATAACATTATAACAAAATCAGCTATTCCTGATTTTTTAAAAAAAAGTTTAAAAAGATCCCTAGTGGCACAGGATGGGGGGGAATTGAAGAAATAGGTCAGAGAAAGGGGAAAGCCACCATCTAGAAGCCCTGTTGCCTATATGCAACACCAATTGGGAAAACTACAGGGATTTATTGCTGTGTGGAAAAGCCTAGCAAATGTCCACCGCATAGATGCAGTACAGTGGAGGATCTCTTTAAGAGTGAATTAAGGTAAAGTTTCCCTTGCTCGAAAGCCAGTCGAATCTGACTCTACGGATGCGGTGCGCATCTCCATTTCCAAGCCAAAGAGCCAGCGCTGTCCATGGACGTCTCCATGGTCATGTGGCCAGCATAACTAGACGCCAAAGCACATGGAATGCTGTTACCTTCCCACCGAAGCAGTACCTATTTATCTACTTGCAATTTCTTGCTTTCGAACTGCTAGGTTGGCAGGAGCTGGAACCAGAGACAGAAGCTCGCTCTGTCATGCGGCACTTGGGTCTTGAACTACTGAACGACCGACCTTCCAGTCTGCAGTTCAGCGTCTTAAGCACTTGAGCCACTACAGCCCATAATGACCTGAGGTCCTCTGAATTCACAGTTTTCATTTTTAAAACGTAAGTCTTTAACCCTGTTCTCCATGGAGATACACCTTTTACATGAAAGCTGGAAATTCAAAGAACCTAACAGATCATTATAACATTATAACAAAATCAGCTATTCCTGATTTTTTAAAAAAAAGTTTAAAAAGATCCCTAGTGGCACAGGATGGGGGGGAATTGAAGAAATAGGTCAGAGAAAGGGGAAAGCCACCATCTAGAAGCCCTGTTGCCTATATGCAACACCAATGGGAAAACTACAGGGATTTATTGCTGTGTGGAAAAGCCTAGCAAATGTCCACCGCATAGATGCAGTACAGTGGAGGATCTCTTTAAGAGTGAATTAAGGTAAAGGTAAAGGTTCCCTTGCTTGAAAGCCAGTCGAATCTGACTCTAGGGTTGCGGTGCTCATCTCCGTTTCAAAGCTGAAGAGCCAGCGCTGTCCGAAGACGTTTCCGTGGTCATGTGACTAAACACCAAGGCGCATGGAACGCTGTTACCTTCCCACCGAAGTGGTACCAATTTATCTACTTGCCATTTCTTGCTTTCGAACTGCTAGGTTGGCAGGAGCTGGAACTAGAGACGGGAGCTCACCCCGCCATGCGGCACACTCGGGTCTCGAACTGCTGAACTACTGACCTTCCACAGCCTGCAGTTCAGCATCTTAACCACTTGAGCCACCGCAGCTCCAAGAGTGAATTACAAACAGCAATAATCAGTCACCAGAGAGAAGGCAAGGGTCTCTACAGACTTGGGGGACTGCCCAGGTACACAGAACAATATGACTTTGTAAATTTACCAACAGGACAGGGGGGGGGGAGCATTAAAAATTTGGTAAAGATTGAAGATGACTAAATGTTAAGAGCAGGTGAAGGGGAAAACCAGCCTGTTCAAGCCCTGGAGAGACAATCTGGCAATGTTTTGGGTATCTGTGTTGGTCTGCAGTAGAACAATTAGATTGGATTGTTCAGTAGCACCTTAGAGACCAACAAGAGTTTCAGGGGATGAGCTTTCAAGAGTCCTTTTGAGAGTCAGTGCTCACTTCGTCAGCCACAGAGGGAGATTTTGGCGTCTGCAGCGGGATTTCCAAATTGTCCCCCTCTCCTGCGATTTCTCTCAGCTTGCAAATACAAATGCAACCAAGGAGGGGAAAAAGCATAAACCAATAGGCATGCACAGTGCAAAGACGGAAGGAAAGTGGATGTACCAATGATGGGGGGGGGTGAACCAAGCTGTCAGCTGCGCAAGGAAGAATGCAACAGAAAAGGGTGAAGTGACAGCTGGAACATCCAACTTGCCTGCTTTGAACAGTAACAGAAGCAAATAAAACAAAACACCCTACCAGAAGCCTGCATTGTTTCTCCACTTCTTATAAACGTCCACAGTAGGTTCAGGCTCCACCAAAGAAGCTTCATCTTCCCCTGTGTTGTTGTTTTTGGGGTGGTGGTGGGGGGAGAAAGCCAGAGTTAGGACTAAGAAGAGAGAGTTGGGGAGAAAACTGGAGAGCAGAGCAAGGACTCACCATCCGAGTCAGTTGTGAGCTGTTGCCAATCAGGTCCGGTAGTCCCCATGGTCGTAAGAAGGGGACATGAGGGGCTGTCTTCAACAAACCTAGGGGGAACGAGTGAAAAAGAAGCAGTTACCCCTCCAGACTTCATAACCACACTCACTCTCGTATCTGGATAAACACACACACTCAGCAATCACTCTTTCATTCTCTGAGACTTGCTCTGTACCTTCAAGAAACAGCCCAAATCGTCATTGCACCTCTCTCAAAATCCAGGAGCAACAGATCTCAAAAGCTTCTTCCTGAAACCTGGGTCACATGAGCATGAGATTCCTACCAGCCCCCCCCCCCCGATTCTGCTTCCTGGTTTGATGCCGGTTCCTGCTGTCAGTGCCCTTGCTTGTGTGTCACGCTAATCATGTTCCCCAGGAAAAAGAGAACAGACGCACAGACAACCGGCACACGCGTACTAATAGGTTACCTCAATAGGGCCGGCTTCGCCCTCAGTTAACATGGTTCCCCTGCCACAGTCATCTTATCTCTCGAACTGAAAGATATATATAGTCTCAAATAAAGTCACAACCTGAAAGTGTCAAACGAGCCTGAGCAAATGCGGTTTAAAATGGTGTTGTTCAGCTAGCAACGTCAGTTTTACATAGGTCTGTTTTAAATATGCATACCTTTGAAGGAAAAAAAAATGTAACGCCATTGATTTTTCCAGATCACCTGTCTGCCTATGGCAGTTTCCAGCTTTGGTGACGGGTGCAACTTTTAGCCATCTTGAGATGCATCAATGATAATAACAATAACAATACTCTCCTAGAAAAGGCTGTTATTTAGCTTCCAGACTGACCATCTCTAAATCTGCACAAGTGGTTTTTTATAGAGAAAGTTGCTGGGCAGTTAGTGTCCAGGTAGGGTTGCCAACCTCCAGGTGGTGGCTGGAGATCTCCCGCTATCGCTCCAGGCGATAGCGATTAGTTCACCTGGAGAAAATGGCCGCTTTGGAAGGTGGGCTCTATGGCATTATACCTCGTTGAAGTCCCTCCCCAAACGCCACCCCCCTCAGGCTCTGCTCCCCAAATTTCCAGGTATTTCCCAACACGGAGTTGGCAACCTTATGTCCAGGGCTGCATCCCATTCATACAGTGTGGATTCCCTGTGTTGCTCTCCAATGCAGAGGCATTTGCAGGGACAGCAGGACACCCACACACAGCAGTTTCCCCTGCACTGTTGTTGCCTCGGGGCTCCAGGTTTGCCGTTTCTCCTCCTGTTATGGGAGGGCGGGGGAGGCTTAGAACAGGCAATGGCTAGAATCAAGATTGCGCCAGCAACATAACACTGAAACAATATTTTCCCGTGACTGACAAGTTCCTGTTCCTCTCAATCCATTCCCCAGTTTTGTGGGGGGGGGGTTAAAGATAAATTTCTAGCCCTCTTTAGTTGTTGAAACAAAAAGTGCTAGAGCAGGGGTGTCGAACTCATTTGTGATGAGGGCTGGATCTGACATAAATGAGACCTTGTTGGGCCGGGCCATGTGTGTCATAAAATGTAATGCCAGGGAGCGGAGATATAAACTTTATAAAGGACACAAACACAAATGAATACATGCTCAAAACATTAGCACTCTTGCAATATTTTGTTTATTTAACAGTGTCTGATAACTGACCCCTCTTGCTCTGAAATATTGCATCAAAATGTCTGTGCTGTTGCAATCTTGAGTATGCTGTTCAAGTGTGTATCTGTAAGCTGCAAATGTACAATGACACAGCAGCAGCAGAACTGGAAGAAAAAGCAGAAGACAGCCAGTTCTACTGCGGGCCCAATAGAAGCCCTCCAGGGGCCTGAACCGGCCCGCGGGCCACATGTATGACACCCCTGGGCTAGAGGCTTACCTTTAAAAAAGTAAATAAAAGCTGGGAATTCAGAAGAGCTAATCAATTGTGGCAATAGATCATTTTAAATGTTATTGCACTGGAACAATCGAGATTGCTAATTTTTTTTTTTTAAGCCCCAAAAGGTGGAGCAATCTAGCAGCTGCTGATTTGTTTTTGTTTTTTTATAAAGCCCTCAGGTGGTGTGTGTGGGAACTCTGGCCATGAACGGTTGAGGCAAATGGCGATAATATGGGTGGAATCTTTAAGGTTTGCCACCCAGTTGACATTGAACAGAAGATTGGGGCTGGGGATAAACCCAGAAATAGCATCATTGTGTTGACATGATGCTCTAGGATTCACCAGGAATCTATGGTTTTCTGTTGAATCCTAGAGTGTTGCATCAGTGCAATGATGTAACTTCTGGGTTTGCCCCAGAAGTGATGTCATACTCATTAGACTAGGATTGCCAGCTCTGAGTTGGGAAATACCTGGAGATTTGGGAGGGTGCAGCCTGGAGAGGGTGAGGTTTGGGGAGGGAAGGGACCCCAGCAGGCTACAATGCCACACAGTCCATCCTCCATAGCAGCCATTTTCTCCAGGGGAACTGATCTCTGTTGCCTGGAGATCAGTTGTAAAAGCAGGAAATCTCCAGGCCCCACCTGGAGGCTGAAATCCAAACACAACATCTGTGACAAAAATAACAAAGGGTCAATAAAGATATGTGTGCAAAATCATTTACTGTCGTAATTCTGTAGAAAATTCTCTTCTATTATTGCTCACATGCAAGGGATGCTGCGCAATATAAACAAACCCTTTTCCACAAGCATTGCTTTATCTGAGCATGTAGCTATCACAATTCTTATCAATTTCTACTTATCAACTCCTGAATGAAACATCCCATGTTGACTCTCTAATAACAGAACTGCCTTGGAACCTCTAAAAATGTGCACATTCCTGTTCACACAGAGTGCAAAGTTGCTTCTACTATACCACCTTTCCAAAAAGATTGTTTCAAACCAGGTTCAGGAAAGATCCAATCAAAGCAGAGGATATCCCAGAAATAGAGATGTCAGGTCCTCCCTAGCCACCAGTGTGTCTCTGTGTGGGGGGGTTGCTAGCTCCAGATTGGGAAACTCCTGGAGATTTGGGGTTGGAGCTGGGGAGGACAGGGACCTCAGTGGGGTACAGTGCCATAGAGTCGATCCTCCAATGTAGGGTTGCCAGGTCCCCCCTGGCCACTGGTGGGGGGATGAGGGGGTAGGGTTGCCAGATCCAGGTTGGGAAACTCCTGGAGATTTGGGGATGGAGTCTGGGGAGGACTGGGACCTCAGTGGGGTACAATGCCGTAGAGTCCACACATCCATTTTCTTCAGGGGAACTGATCTCTCTAGTCTGGAGCTGTAATTCTGGGGCATCCCCTGGTCCCACTGGCATCCCTAACCCAGACAGTGGACAATTAGGGGATGAGGCTGTATGGCTGTTCCAGAAATCCCCATGCTTCGTTTGGATGCCAAATGGAGCAAGTCCTCTGTGGGGATGCAACTTGGGGCAGAACTATGGGTAGGAGCCCAAACAATGCTAAAAGCTGGTTTTAATTGGGACAGCAGGGACTGAATCCTTACAGCTTGCAGAACAAGCCTGCCTGCCTGCCACCTGCCTGCCACCTGCTTAACCAGCCAGTTTGGTGTAGTGGTTAAGTGCGTGGACTCTAATCTGGGAGAACCGGGTTTGATTCCCCACTCCTCCCCTTGCACCTGCTGATGTGACCTTGGGTCAGTCACAAGCTCTGGCACAGCTGTCCTTGAAAAAGAGCAGTTTGTGTCAGAGTTCTCTCAGCCCCACCCACCTCACAGGGTGTCTGTCGTGGGGAGGGGAAGGGAAAGGAGTTTGTAAGCCGCTCTGAGACTCCAAGTGAAGGGCGGGGTATAAATCCAATCTCTTCTTCTCTTCTTCTTCTTCTTCTTCTACATTTGAAAACTGAAAGATTATTCCACAGACACTACACATTTCTGGTGCTCAAAGGAAAACGGTCCTGTTAAGAGTAGTTTGAAAACGAGCGGCTTGACTAAGAAGTCTTCCCTTAAAGTATCAAAAAGCCTTTGTTTGTTTTTGTTCAAAGCAACGTTTGGGTTTTATTTTGAGCACGGATTTCACAGAGCTTCCCGACTTTGTGGTTGCTGTCCTCCAAAGCCAGAGGAAATGGGTGTCGCTTGTCAGTAGTTCCTCCCGGGAAACACGACATAATTAATCTGCCCCCAGGAGCCTTTGTCATTTTGTAACAAGGATCAGGGCTGTTTTGAATTTTCTACTGCCTTGCATCCCGGTGTTTACTGTGGTTTCTCTGTGGCGGTATCCTGTCAAGCAGAAAAACATGGCAGCCTTTACAGAACAAGTTGACCACACAGGCCAGCATGAGGTGGAGGAAGTGTGGCTGCCAAATTTTACCTCAGGTGAATTTGGAGGTCCTGGATGGACAAACTGTTTGAGTCATGTTGAGGGAAGCACAAATGGTCTTGATGAGTAGTGGAAGTTCTCAGGGTGGGTTTGTTCACACACTCTAGACCAGGGTTCCCTCTAAGCTGAGTTAGTGTGAACTAGCTCACAGTTTTTTAGCCTCCGGCTCACACATTTTTGTCTTAGCTCAGGAAGGATGGCTCCAGAGCAAACTAATTTATGCAGCCGCCAAATCGCTCGCTCACAACTTTAATGCCAGTAGCTCACAAAATAGAATTTTTGCTCACAAGACTCCTCAGCTTAGAGGGAACATTGCTCTAGACCAGCAGTTGCCACCAATGGTCCAAATGCTTGCTTCCACCAGGCCTGTGTTGTTGTTTTCTCATTGCTTACACCATAATTCAAAAACTCTGCAGAACTGTCCAAGACAGTGAAAACGATACGGAATCAGAGGATGTGGTCACAAGCTTTTGCAGCATTTACTTCCCTCCCTGGGGAGAAAGGGGAAGTCGCTTCGCTGTGCCTGACCCAGACGACCGATGGCTCTCTTTCAACAGCTGTTGGGGACCCTGCAGCGGACTGTGGTCAGCTCTATCAACCAAGCTTGGGTGGGATCCAGGACCCCTGGTGTTTTGTTTTGTTTACAGAAGGGGTTGTCTGGCTATCAAACCAGACTGTCTGTACTTATTTTATTTGTCTTTCTTCCTCCTTCCATCTTCAGGATTACATTTCCACCTTCACCACCTACCTCCTTGGAGATGAAGCTCATCCAGGAGCAGAAGAGCCAGGAAGCACGAGGGAGACGGTGCCTCGTAGAAGCTGCCGTGACCGTAACGTGGAGACGGCACATTATGGGTAACAAAGACCTGTGTCCTGCGTTTGTTTTTTTATCCTTGCAATTCTTTTGCTGCCCAGAGGTGCCAGACTCCTCTGGAAGAATTTCAGCTAGCTGGAATTACCTTTCCCCCTTTCTACCTC